AGATGGACACCTGCCGACACACTAGCAAGACACAGGTACGCATGCACCGGCAATCCGCCCTGGTGTGCGGTCAGAGGGCTGGCGCACACGGGACACAGCGCAGGGGACACAGCGCAGGGGACACAGCACACGCATACACACAGCTGCATCCTGACAACTGCGGGTGAGGCAACAGGTTGGGACACATCTGCCGCTGACGCAGCCGCGTCTCCCAGTGAGCGAGGCAGAGCCGGCCCAGACGGCTCTCCTGTGACCCTCGGGGCCGGGCCGCTCTAAGCTTCTTGAATCTTCCAGTGGCCACAGAGCCCACTAACGGTCAGGACGACGCCTGGGGAGCTCCTCAGGAAAAGGCATGCATCACCTCTCACACTTTGGGGCGCAGAGACTACTGAGGCCGCCGCAGACCCACACGCCGGGCGAGAAGGCCCAGCCCAGAGCAGCCGAAACCCCTGCCATAACAGGATGACCCCAACACGGCTCCCGCTGACCCGGGGACGGCACGCATCAATCTTGGCGTGGCCTCCAGCTCAGCTTCCTCCCGTGACTAAGGGTCGATCCTGGCTGATAGGATCCCCCAAGGCACCCCCCGAAATACCGACGGTCACTCTTAACCAGCAGACGAGAGATAGCCCGAATCTCAGACCCACATCTCGGCCCACAGAACCCAGGCTCCCCTCCCCCACTTCCTCAGAGCCGGCCGCCACCCTCTGTGGAACCTGCCCATGGCCGGCTCACTTCCTCGTCCCGGGGCAAGCCGCCCCCAGAAATGCCTCTCCCGCGCCCCATGTGGACGCCCCGCCTCCAGGACCCTCCCACACGAACTTTCAGTTCTCAGATGTGAGGTTCCTCTCGCACGTCAACAACGGGACCTCCTTCCAGAGACACATGAGGAAACAGCTCTGACGTCCCCGCGGGGCACCTCGGGGCTGGGGCTGAGCGCGGGGAACCAAGCCGAGCACAAGTTCTAGAATAAACACGAGCCGGGCTTCTTAAACGAGGCCAGGCAACAGCCTACTGTGATTGGGGAAAATTACGGTAGAAAACGTTTCTCAACAAATCGCTGTAGTAACTACTTTAGAGAAAAACAGACATACTATCGTGTAAGAAAATGATCACTTTGTATTCGGGGTGGGTTGGGGGAGGGGGGCTGGCTGGTGCTTTTTTGGTCCAATCCATAAAGCGGGGTATATGTGTGTGCACGTGTGCATGTGCGCACGTGTGTGTGTACATGTGTGTCCGCGGCGAGTGTGTGCATGTGCGTGTGTGCGTGTCCGTGTGTCCGTGGCGAGTGTGTGCATGTGCGTGTGTGCGAGTGTGTACGTGGTGAGTGTGTGCGTGTGTCCGTGGCGAGTGTGTGCATGTGCGTGTGTGCGAGTGTGCGCCTCAGGTATACGCTCCAAGGCCAGCAGCTTCAGCATCACCCAAGTCCTCAGTTGATTGGCAAGCACTCAGGCTCCATCCTGCACCGACTGAGCCAAAACTCGGAGTGCAGGCCGCTATCTTGTCTTAAGGACCGCCCGGCACCCGGGTCCTCGGACAGGTCAGACCACTGCCCTGAGGCAGGCGTGGACACACGTGGGGTTGCCGTGTGGGTCCCAGGTCGGACTGTAAAAACACAGCCGGCTGCTCAAGGCACCTCCGATTCCTTCTCAAGAAACCTGTGTGAACCCCACACAGCAGAGCAGTCTGCCGTCACCACACGCCCACACCTGCAGTGTAAGCCCATCTCTCCGACACGGAGCACGGACAGCGGGCACATACAATGCACACACATCACACAGTGATTGGACGCCACGGGCCCCGCACTGACGCCCTCAGAACCGGGTGAGCACGGCTGTAACGCTCCCAACCCGCTGTGGTCCCAGCAGCTCAGTCCCCTGTGCAGCCTGCCTCGCTGATGGCTGACGTCTCCTTCTAAAAAGATCCGCCTCCCCTTAGGCTCCCCACTAAATATACTCCAAGGGCGGCCCGCCCCGCAGTCCCCGAGCAGCTTCCAAAGATGCTGAGTGATGCCGGCGACACCCGGGCAGAAGGCCAGGCCTCGCGGGCGGCCGTTCCGAAGGAGACGGTACTTGCTCGGCATAAAGACTCCAGGACCAGGACAGCCTGGCCTGGGAACATGCAGACTCACGGCCTTATAATAACTCCAACCTGGCACGACGCAGAGACGGCAGCGGTGACGAGAACAGGAGACCCTTCCTGCGAGCCGGCTGCTGCGCGTGTGCGGCTCAGAGAGGACGCGGCGGGGCGCCCGGCGCTGGGGGAAGCCTCAGCCTCTTCTGATGGAAGCGCCAAAGCGAGAGCGCAGGGGGGAGAGGGCACCAGGGAGGCCCTCCGGGGGCACCAGACACACGGGGAGCGGGGAGGGGGCCTCAGCACAGGGGCCTGGGTCAGGGGTGCAAGGAGCCGGGCGCACCGGGGTCCTGCAGCGTTCGCCAACCTGAGGCTCCCGCGGGCCAATCCCAGGAGAGGGATTCACAGGCGGGTAACTGGGAGAGGCTGAGACTGCGCTCCTCTCGCAATTCGCATCAGCACCGTGAAGCTTTGGCGGGCCTGGCCAGTGCGGCCCAGTGGTCAGCAGCCCTCTCAGCCTCTGGCTCCGAGGCCAGGGGCTCAGGAAGGGTCCTTTCCTGGGAGGCAAGCTGGGGAGACCGGGGCTTCCCCCCGGCCTGCGTGGGTTTGAGTTGAACGGCCTCTGGACTCTCTCAAAGGGGTCTGGTCCCTGTGAAGGGGGCGCGGCCCAGAAAGAATGCCTCGGACGAAGGGTCCCTGCTCCTGATCACAGAGACTCCGGGGAAGGTCCGTGAGTGTGTGTGACGCCGTGTGAAGCGGGCGGACACGGACGGGAAACCAGTCCCGGCAGCCGCTGCTCTCGGGACAGGCCCACGGTGGACGTCGAAGGAATGGGGGTTGGAATGAGTGTCCGCTCCCTGCGGGCCAGTCTGCTGCTCGGACCCTTCGTACTCACTGTCAGTTGCCACGGCCAACACGGCACAAAGCTGTGATGTGTCAGTGGGCAGCGTGACTGCACTCAAGACGGAGGCTAGCCCGCGTCTAGCCGAGCCCCGGAGCCTCAGAGCCAAACCTCAGACCCTCAGAGAGCCCAGCCTGGCCCCGCAGAGCCCAGCCCGAACACCCAAGCCCAGTCCCGAAGGGCAGAGCCAGCCCTGAAGGTGGAGTGAGCCCTACAGGCCTAGCCTGGCACCAGATCCGTGGCCTTTCGTTTCGGTCACAGGGTTTTATAGTTTTCAGTACAGAGTTTTTACATATTTTTGTTTGTTTAATCCCATCCTGAATGCATTTGGCAATTCTTGATGGTAGCTAGGCTCTTTGGGATGTTGGCCTGCACGGCCCTCCGTGGGGGAGGCAAACACAGCGCACAGGACTTTACTGGGGGTGTGGGGGGTTAGGTGGACACACACGTCCAGAACACTCCCTCCTGACAGCACGACCCCCAAGCCATCCCCAGCCTGGGAGGGAGACAGTGTGAGGGAGGGCGAAGGGGACGGTGCAGCCAGTGGGCAGCCCCCCCCCGCCC